TATATATATGCACAATGTGCTATTCACAAAAACCTAGTACAAGGTAGTACACCTGCCTGTGACGTGAGAATGGAACACGCCGAGTAACTAACTGATGAAGTCGCACAATGAGAACGCCATTTATTTTTTTTGCACACCACTTCTAAAGCATATTTAACCAAACACAGCTATCTTTTGTTGTTCTCACTCAAATGGTCGGAATGATCCAGCTTACGATAATGTCCTTCATTCTTTTGACCGAAGTCACTTGTTGTCCCCTGCTGAGCGTTTTCAACCAACTTCTGTGTATTTGATTAGTGTCCTGATTTACCTTTGTTTATGAGGCATTCGCAAAACCTGTTTCAGTGATCTTAGTTGGTTACTCATCAGTTCTGAGCTTATAGAGCGTGGCTCTTTACCGAATGCTGACAAATCGGCTCGGTCTTTACTCATCTGTTATTCTCACCAGACATGAGCTTTGTTCCGCAGGTAGTGACGGTTGAAAGTAGTGTATTTAGATGCCTTCAGCCCGAAAATCACAAGTTTCACATTCATATAAGAGCACAGCACAGACAGCACCATCGAACAAGCCGCTCACCTAGTCGAAGACTGATATAACAGCGTCGTCAGAGATGGTGGAGTTATCCGTTTTCAGCTTTCGCCTTACCACTGCAGAACTACCATTTTGCTGAAGCAGCTTTTCGAATACATGAGTTTCTCCAACACTCTGAGTGCGGCGTTTAAGGGGTGCGAGATAGGATTTGTGAACTGGTCGATGGGTAACTGTAACTTACATTCTCCTGAGCTGAAGCGTAATCCGGATGGACGGATAAAAGTTGTCAGTCTTTAGGCTGTTTATGAGCTTAACTCTCATCGCATTTCGTCTTTGTGATTAGCAGTGTTACTCTCAATTGTCTCTTCAGAGGTCTGAATAGTTTCTCACGGTGGTGGGATGTTTATGACAGGGAGTGAGGAAGCTACCCAATGAAGATGATGATGCAGTGTCCATTGGCTGCAAGACAGCCATATCTGTCACGGTCGGTAACCATTGGTTTGTCTCGCCCCGGGGTCCCCAATTTGACACAGATTTTGGAGGTTGAATGGTTTATTTTTATATTTCACGGGACAGAAGCTTAGATTCAAACCAACGGTTTAGCAACTAAAAGATAAAAATAAAATAAATAGAAGAATCAGTATGAGTTGGGTGATGGTAGTGTGGGGAGTAGTTGGTGAGTAAAGGTTTTTAAAGGCAAATGACAGTCCTCGGTTTCCCAAGTGGAGAAGCATCAGTTGGGGTACCCCACCTTGAACCTTTCACTCAGTGGTTCGGGCGCGAATTTACTGACCGGAAGGTCCGCAGTTCGAACCCGGCCTCTGTCTAGACCTGTGCAACCTGGTAGTAATCCAGCCCTCGTGCTTCCATCTGGTGGCATGGCAGCTAGGCACCGAAGGGGTATTGCAGGTAAACGACAATATAACGATATGGGGTTCTGTCCGTGAACCCTCCCCCTAGCCTCTGCTTCTAGAGTTCGACCTGTGAGTCAGTGGTGGTTAGGGTTTTCTTGAGGACCTTCCCGGAGCGTATAGTCTGACTTTCGCTGTTGTGGGGTGCTAGTCCTGCTAGAGGGCGCAGGAGATGGGGCATTAATATATGGGTTTAGATGCTGCTACGCATTATGTATGAGTCTTGGGTCGAGTCAGGCTCACGCAAGGCTCATATACTTTTTTGACCTTATTGCATAGTTCGCCGATCACTGCCAAACGTTGGACGATACGAATGTGCGGTTTTTGCAGCTGAGCTTTTCTATCCCAATGGTGGGAATGCTGGTTACTTGAAGGAAGCACCTTGCTTTGTTCACACCTGTTGCGGTTGGAAGTACGACTTTGTCTCCAGACCACCTGGGGCGAGATGGCGCAAGTGGTTAGAGCGTGAATTTACTGACTTCCCTGTCTAGGCTTGGGCAACCTGGCAGCCCAGCCCTCGTGCTTCCTTCGGGTGGCATGGCAGCTAGGCACCGAAAGGGTGCTACAGCTGAACGGTACCTGGTAACACCGCACGGCTACTCTCTGTACTTCGTCGGACTACCCTCAGTTGTCCTAAGGAACTGAGTTTCAGGCGGTGTAAGCTGGAAGATCATTGCAACACCGAAGCCTGACTTTCACGACAAGAAGGCAGCTTTATGTCGGGGGGGGGGCGAGGTGGAAAGCTTTCCTTTGACCACAGCAGGTGGTAGTGGGTTGTGATGGCGACCCATCATGTATTAACGGAAACCGGAAGCTTGGCCTCAAGCTGCTCTGCCCACCGTTCGGTGCTCTTCGGTAAGCTGGTTGTCTGTTCATTTGGTTGTTTTACTTCCTGATATCCTGCTTCGTTGGAGCAGCTTCCTGGAGTTTGCAGCAGTTGATCTAGCCTGCCTCTCCGATACTTTACCACGCCAGTTTTCACGTTCTAGCTTCAGAGAGGCAGTTATTTGCAGTTATTTGTGCTGGTTCAGGGCTTGCTGTGTTCACGATCTACGGCCTTTGTGTGTACAGTAACTGTTATCCACAGCTTGTTAGTCTGCCATACTTGTATGTTATCCGTTTTTATTCACTTGCTGAATTCTCATTAGCCACTATTTGTATCACCACTTAGCAGCGTACCATTCAACAGCGATACAGCAGCCTTATTTTTCTGCTTGTCAGATTGTATACATATATCGACTGGATCCAAAACATTGCTGACTAGCACACTTTGCGTTCATGTCAGTCATGCAACCGAGACCTGTCATTTTTGTAATCGCTTTCTCCCCCATCTTTTTTCTCAGATCGTGTGCCACCTCTCCGGAACTTTCATGTATACAAGCATGGTAAGTCTGTTTGTACATATATATGCACACAGGTTCGTGTGCGTGTGCATTTAGTATCTGTGTTCTGTTCACTTTTGTGTATGCATGTACACGCATTTCCTCTTGATTCTAATATGGATCGTAGGCAGTGTTCATCCATTCTCAGTTGTTCCGAAGGATTGTTCACTACTCTGTCGTTTGACAGTCATCTGGTTTCCCTCGTCTCTTTGGTTTTCGAAGTTTGGCGTAGTTGCAGTCGACCGTTTTGTTGTCCTTGGATTTAGTTACGTGACTCGGGAAAAATAACGTCAGTCAGAAATCTAACTGTACATACTGTGTCACACCTACATTGTTTTTCCTGAATATAAGTTTGCCTTAAATGCAACCGATCCTAGATGTTGATGAGTGTTGTAGGTTTTAGACATCAGATCCATTTGTGGGGAATGTTACCCACAACCACCAGTAACAATTTTTGTAGCATTAGCGTCCACGGGCGTTGGTAGAGCAGTGGTAGCACGTGAGCTTCGCATGTCAAGTGTCCGAAGTGCAAACTCCAGTATGGCCAAGTATATACACTGCTGATGAGCTCTAATAAGAGCGAAACTTGAGTCCGGTGCTTCTCCTCTTTGGTGTGAACTCAGTGGAATAATTTCCACAGTACAAGAGGAGGGATGTTCAAGCGAGAGTGATGTGAACGTGAATTCTACAAATTCTGCAATTACCTACATTTTTTGTCCGATTCCTTAAAAATGGTAGTATGATATTCACGCCACTCACAGACCTGGTGACAAAACACCAGCAATTCAGACTTTGATATGTTAACGTTTGATGTCAATCGTTTGAACAATGTCACTCTTCATCTCTACACCCTGAAGCTGTTTCCGTTTATCAGCTTTCTGTGCAGTCTTCAATATTTTTTGCCGTAAAACAACAGTCATCACCACTCAAACTGTCGTATCGTATGCAAGTAGAAAATGGTCCGTCTAAACTACCTGTGTCATTCGAGTAAAATGACCAGATAATCAGTGGGAGCGGTAGGCCCGAAGTATTTCTGGTTGGCCGCTGTAGTGCGTTTGAATTTAGGCTAATCGAACTAAAATGCCATAGACAGGAGTGCGGTCGGCGTAAACTTTGTAGCTGTTTCTTTTTCAAATCACTCTTCCTTAATTCAGTGTTTATGCTTTTGTGTCTCCTCACCAAATAGTGTTCCAATGGTCTATTTTTAAAGGTTCTCGGCTAACCAAACTCGGACAGCGAGCACCAGCTTATGAAACGTCATCCTCGCTGATGAGCTCCGATCTAGAGTCCACAAGTTTCTTTGACTCGGAGGATGAATCCAGTCGGTAAGTACTTTCTACCGAATGAATATAAATGAAGATCGTAAGATAATTTAGCTGCCTGCTGCGAGTCATCATCATCATCATCGACAGCATGACATCAGTGTTCAACACCAATGCTTTACTGCCTGTTGAGAGGTCAGTGTAACACCAGTTAGCATCGGAGCCGCTGTTTATGTGTACAAAAAACCGTCAGTGAGGATTCAAGTCAGATGTGATTCCGGAAACTGATCTAGAGGAAGCTTCCGTTCGCTCCCAAAATTTCACTTTATTAAGCAAAATCACTGCTTTTGTTAGTGTACAAACAATTATCCTATAAACCGCTCTCAATCCTGCTTTGACTGCTCGGGTTCTCCTGAATGTGATTGGTTCGTTAGTAGTTTACCCGATTGTTTCATGAGCTACTGGTGCACGTGAACGAGCATCCATGAGGGTCAGGTCATTGGTTCTCAGATTTCTCCAGCTCCCGAATGAGTATGCATGGTACGCCACAAAATGTACAGTCTGCTGTACAGGACTGTCGGAGCCAGAATATGAGAGGGAAGTCCTCATCAGAGTTGCACGTCCGTTTCTCATGGCAAAGATGTAGTCGTAAATGTTTGTTTTACATGGACCAGTTTCCATGTCACAGTAACGCGACCGGTGGAATACAGTTGGCTCGTTCGATGGCTGTGCGATATACAGCCTTTGGGCAACATTAGGGCAGCAGCATTGAAACGAAACCCATGTAGTGGAATTCAATGGATGCTACTGACTCGCAGGCGGATTCGCTGCTATGTGCTTACCGATCGTCTCCCGCGTGGTATCACACCTATTGTTTCCCTGTAAACCTAGGTAGCACTCAGGTCAAGAAAGGAAATCAGTTCTTGCTTAGATGGGTAGGTAGATTGATGTTGCAGTATACGACACGAATTCGTGCAATCGCAGTCTGCCGAGGTCACCACTGTTTTTCTCCGTCGCCTTCCCTGCGTACTGCTCGTGTGACAACTGTCAGCCTTCAGTGAATGTAATGCAGCGGTGCACAACCTCGCTATCTTACAGAAAAGCAGAGCTAGCACTAGTGATCTTGATGTTTACTAAGCCGGTAGTGTTGGCGTTCGTACGTATTTAACTACTCAAATCACGTATGCCGCCACTAGTGTGAAGTGTGATCAAAATAAATCCGAGTATAATTGATTATGAAAGACCATATTGGGATGGGGAAAACTAGTCAATCCCAATAAATTCTGCATGCAGCTGCCTACCGTGTTACTCAGTGATATATCGATTGCAGACAGACTCGTCTTTTCCCGCTTGTATTTTTATCGGAATGTCAGATTTCTCTTCCCCCTCAATTGCAGTATAACTTTTTTTGCGCGTTTTACACTAGATAGAGGAAAATAACACCGCTTTCGCATCAAACGATATACTGTGACACACCTTGTATCCCAGGATCTTGTCGGATATCATTAATTTCTCGTGGAGCAATGGATAAAGGAGCGGCTGTTGTGTGAATTTCAACGCACATATGCAGGGGTACATAGATTTTTGTTTGAGTGATCCGTTCAGCTCAAAATTCTGCTCCCTTGCCTGTTTGTCGTACGGCATTTCTGTTAACACTCTTTTTATCTTTCTGTTGGGTGTACCGTATGGCTGTTTGACTCACTGATGGTGGTTTTCCCTATGTCTCAGTTTGTTGGTCTGGCACCATACACGTTCCTGTTAATATGATGCCAGTGGTTGAAGCCTGGTGTGATAGGATCAGTCGAACGCGTTGCTCATTCCCCGCATTCTCCAAGACCAATCTGCTGCGAAAAACTGATGACATGATTTGCACCGTATGGAGATGCTCCATCACGTTGATGTCATGCCAATTTCCGTTTCAGCGAACCGCAGTGCATCGACTGAAGCGTTGGGTGCTACCATTTAAAGGAAGAAAGCCTTCACTGCGGGGTTATTTATTAGAAAATGCCAACTGACCAGTTACAGACTATTGGACAGGGAAGCAAAACTCTCATATGCATCTTATTTACAAAAACTGAGCATTCATCTTCTCTTGAACGCGTCTTCCTGAACTTTCCTGGATATTCATTGACTGTCGCCCAAATCCAAGCAAATGCTACGAAGCGACTCCACAAATTACCCAGTAGATCTCCCTTTTCAAGAGACGTCAAGCAAATTTACAAGAAAACCTACTACTCGCATGCCTCTCCATCAGTAGTATCACCGTTACACTATTAGGAACGTGAGTAGGATAGTTTCAAACCTACACAGTTTATATGGCCCATACTTAATTACCCTTAACACTGTATGTGGACAAACTGATATTGTTTCCAACATTCCGGTTCACACCGTTTACCCCGAACTGTGAAGATTCATTCACGAAGCAGTCACTTTCGGATTCACAGGGTTGCGTCGTCTCTTCAGTATATGACCCGTTCCAAACATCTACACTGCCCACTGTACTTGAACACAATATGAACTCTAGGTAGCCTAATAGTTAAGGTGCGGTGTTATTGACCAAAGGTTCATGGTTCAAGCCCAGCCTCAGCATCCCGACAGCCTTTGTCTAGGCTTTGGTACCCCGGCGATAACTCGGCCTCCGTACTTCCTTCGGTTAGCATGGCAGCTGTGCACCGAAGGGTGTCAACTGAACGATTGATTCCATGTTTTTTTGGGTAAAATGTTTCAATATTTGTTGTCTATGCTGCCCTGTTTCTGCAACTGATTAGCATAGTAAAGGTTTAAATTGTGCATCTCCGGTTGCGTCCTGACTAATGAGAGTGGAAATATTTCACTGATGTTTTAGGGGGTCAAATACGTGGGCGCTGAATACTTTGGACAGCTCACAGGATACCACATGGCGCAGCACCAGTGGCGATCCACAGCTTTCCAACTGAACCCGTACTGTCAGATTTTCTTACAAGCATTTAAATACTGCCTGTTACCGGAAACGTGTTGCTAGATGCAATGACAAGAGTAGAGTAGAGTAGTAGTCACTCCGCTGTAACACGCTTTCGGTGCCTAGCTGCTATACACTCCAAAGGAAACACGAGGACTGAGGTAAGAGGTTTTGCTGCCTTCGTTCTATTCCAAGAGCTAGTGCTTGTGCCGATAGATCAACCAGATCATCGATCTTGTTTTTGTAGCCAAGTTCTACGTAGAGACAAAGGCTTAATATCACAGAGAAACAGGGTGACTCTCGAAACTAGATAGCAGGTACACTGAAGCTTACTGCCGAACAGGTTTGTCTCGATTTCACATATTTCACTTACGTGGATCTTTAAAGGATTGTGCGGTGTACGACAGCCTACAAGCTGGTGCGTTCGGTTCCCTTGGCGGATATGAGGTACCTCTCACATTAACTATTGCGGGAACCCGCTTTTGAAAATCCTCAGGATAGGTTCGGTGAACACTGGGATTTCCGTCAGCGCCTGTGTAAATGATCAGTTTATGCCGGTGATAAATTATTGGTAACCCTATCGAACTGCCCCTGCACTGCTTTGTGTCATGAAACGCACCTATTTTTATCCCTAGCTAAGCTGGGAGTGTTTTCTGACAGGTGTCAGATTTTGCTACCTAATTTTGTATGACATCACAAGTGGAGCAAATGGTGGGGGCGATGTAAAGAATAACACTAAGGTGCAATACCTCATTAGCATATTGGTTTGCAGGTCAATACTTCCATCGTTCTTCACTAAAACATTTCGTCCTATGTAACTTTCTGCCTAAAGGCTGCACACATTCAGCTGTCGAGGGAGTTAGCTGCTTTCGATCGATCTTATCAGTGTGACGTAGGGAAAGGTCTAATTGGAACAAACATTCACGATCACAATGTCACAATGCTGTGAGGATTTTCTCCCATATTGCTGTGTCGTTTGTTGCTTGGCCTACCCGAGCTGGTTGTGCTGTGTATGCGTTTGCTGTCTTCCCATTCACAAACAATTTGACTTTTACCCCTTAGCTGTCATTTCTTTTTACCTGTGTTTTGACATTGGTCAACCAAAATAAATTAGTTACAGCCCATCTTACTGACATCCTCCTTAATCAGTCCATACTTTGTCAAGGTATAGTAGCACCCGGACGAATTAATGCACAAGTTGGTTTTTCAATCAATCTGACAACGCCCCTCCTGTCGTTCTGCCTGGTGACGGACAAGTCCTACTGTCAAGATTTGCCTGATCTGTATCTTGTTTTGTTGACGGGAAAAAGTATTTATTGTATCGGTTCACTGCATGCTGTTCAGCAGCACACCTGGTTGCCATGATATCAGCTTAAGATGGCTTGCTCCCTTTTGTTTACCTGCCTCTGTTTAACGCATATCATCGTGTTGGATATTGTTGTTGTTCGTCTGTTGTTGCTTCCACATTGATTTTTCCGATGTGGCAAGATCTGTAGTTCTGATAGACGGTCCTCTAGTCCGCTGGATGTGTGGTTCTGCTCTTGGTGATGTCAAAATCAACTGTTACAGTATTTCAGAGGTCTCGTTGCAGTCGATTGAACAGCTCCCAGTGGCAATTTCCGGGTGCTCTTCATGGGATCGCTGTTTCCACCAGTCATGTTGAACTGAGGCAATTGCCAAGATACAGTGTTAATTAGTGCTCTACGATGGCGTCTATTCGTGTGTTTAGTTACAAAATGACCTCAGCACGCAGTCCTCCAGATGATTTATTGACTTATTTCTGTTGGGTGTTGGACCACCGCCCCACCTTTGTTCTACTCTCCTTTCTAAGGGAGAATAAACTAGTTTGATTTGACTCTAACTAACTCGTATTTCAGACATATGGTATGTGACTTGTAGCCGAAGTGCATCTGTGCTACGTGGAAGTCCGTCTGACAAAGCTCCCTTTTAGAAAGCGAGAGGTTGCCGATTCGCGTCGTATCACGCACTACGTTCCTGTCTGCAGTTTGCACTTGGGGGCCCTTTCTCCCTACTTATATACGTCATATTTACATATTTCTCGGTGTAATGGAGGGTGCCAGACAGTCTAAAGTCAGTCTAAAGCGGTCGGATCTGAGGGGATGAAAACTCAACTCGGAGCAGAATGTAATTCCATCTGTGAAAATGCTCTCGAGAGTTATGAAAATTCGCACTTTTTGGTCCTTAGCTCGCGGAAAGATGACGTCAAACAAACGTTTCACCAGTGATCCCGATGCCTGTGATTGGCTAGCCACAGAATGCACTGCCCTTTCATTGCACTCTTTCTAGGATATGGAAATAAAGCGCGCTTACTTCTTTGGAAGGCACTTGTTTACCCAGCTACGTTAGACGTTAAGCGTGCTGCGGTAATGACTAATAAGTGGTGATCAGATCCGTAAGATTATCGAAGCTTCAAGCAGAATACAGGGCTCACGTCCTATACCATGCCGATTGAGAGGCTGCGAAATATCTCAGGAATGCTCCGCTTCAGCTGGTTCCTTGAAGTGTGTTTCAAGCGTCTCTCAGAATACGGCTTCGCAGAAGAACGCCCCTAGCGGATCCCTTGAGGTGATCTGTACAGAAGGAATAATCAACCAGGTCCCATCTCATCATGGAACCATCCTCAGTCATCAATTTTGCATCCGTCTAGTTCTGGTACAGAAGATAGCAACATCATCTGTGTTATCAGAATAATATTCCATCCTTCGAAACACAGGAATACTCTACATGTAAAAACGAAGTTACCACACATCATACGTACTCGTCATTTTCCGTCTTTACAGGTTTTCAACCGCCACTGGGACGACCATGTCTTCAGCAAAATACGCACGACATAGGAAGCAACACAAACGTCGGCGATTGGTTCCGATTCGACGGATTAGTGAAGACGTAAGTCTTCAATGCATTTACCTTCAACTTGTAGATGTCCAGTCTCTCTGTAGGTAATGTGGTGGTACGTTTCTGTTGCTCAGCTTGGCAATACAAGGCTGGTACAATACTGTCCTCCTGCAAAACCGTTTTCTACGTGTGTAGATCTACCTCATAGTTGGACTGATCCATAGCAGTTGCACTGTTCTGGATTCGGGATCCCAAATAAATTTAACTTCTGGTGGATGAACCATCAATTCAATTAACTACCGTCGTTTTCAGCTTGAAAATGTCGACCTAGAAGTTTTATGTTAATTTAGTTGTTGTTGGTTGTTGGTTGTTCGGTGTCAATGCGTCGGCGAATCCGGTGGAAGTCAGGCTTCTTGAAGTCTTTGTCAGAGCTATAGCTTACGTTGATTCGAAACGAGGAATTTCGCGTGTGCTGTCGGTGCGTTTTTTGAGGACTGTATCCACTGGGACATGATACGATTACTCTCATGTGTTGCGCCGTTGATTGACTGTCTGTCGAGAAGTGCACCGTTTTTTGTGCCGAATTGGATGGCACAAACGAAGAGGCAGGTGTATCATAAGACGACAAAACCTGAGATGTATTCAACCCTCCTGGATGGGATCCGCTTGGCATCTGATTAGAATCGATGCAAGGTATGGATGCATCCTTGTTGCCAGCCCTTGTTCAGTTCATCCGGCCGAATCCTTTGGAGTAGAGGCACATTAGAATTCTCCGTTTTCCTTTTCAAACCCGTTGGAGCTTGCAGTGTGATTCGCCCATCAGTATCTCGCTCCAGTCAACAAGCTTTGAGGTGAATAAGCCCATATCCATTGGCTTGATCCCAATAGGGACAGAAGGCCTCCTGTGGATGAGAATTCATAGACAGGAATGTCTTCATGATGGAGCTCAGCAGTGGTATCATTCTTTGTCTTCGTTGTCACAACACAAATTACTTTGAGTTGTACTACTGGTTTTCTTAAATTGTCTCAGAAAAAAGCACTTTCCGAATTCCTGGAGTACATCAGTAATCCGGGTTTCTCCATTGGCCCTCCCTGGAAGACACCCAAACTGTTGTCATAGACGTACTTCTTAATCGCCCAATACGCGACCTCTTACTTCCAATAAGCACTAGGATAGCCTTGTATTTTAGTCTCTTTTTCCTAGTAGCTTACTTTTCCATGTTGTATGACAAATGCAGCCTTTTCAAACTGAGAATCACTACACTTACCTGCCAATCATGAAATTTCGCCTAAGCGGGCAAACAGCTTAAGGAACAACAAGATACTAAGTTTAGCTGATTGTATGTGATATAAATGTAATCTAACTACCGGAGTGGCACAATCATCGCCCCATATCAATACCACCCTTTTGGGACGCGAAAAGCAGTCTTCTGGAAGCGGGAAGGTAGCCTTTATGGAGGTAGAATAAACTTCCCTATGAAAATAAGGGATTAGTTTGGCTTTATTTGGTGTGTCGGCACAACTGAACTAATAGGTAACCGTTTCTATGCGCATTCCCTGTCAGGCTTACGAATTGATACAAATTGCTTACGAAACAACATTTTATTAAAGAGGTACGACGCCGAAAACTTCTGGTCACTGTTCGTTAAGTCTTGCCTTAGCGGTAGGCTAATCTACGAACTTCAGTTGGCTCAACTTTTGAAACATAGCAAGCCAACCCGAAAAGCAACAGACAACGTTTCATCAACGGAATGGTATTCATAGTCTTTTCTCTACCGGAGCCATCGTTCTGCTAGGTGCTCTGTGACCTTCCAGTGTGATGTTTTTTACGAATCACAACGTATAAACTACTTTACATACTCCTTGTGTCATACTCCCTTTTGAAAAAACCGTTGCGGTTAGGCTAGATTGCGGTTTGTTGTGGAGGATTGTACCCACCGTAGCTACTGACCTGTGGCTGCTATCATTTCGGATTGAGACAGGTGATGTCAAATGGTGATGAGATTTGTCTTTTTGTAGGCACACTATGCTGGGATTCAACTTTATTGACCGAAGGTCTTTATGGAAGCTATATTTTGGCGAACCCGATTTCCCATATCACTTCTTGACATGCTCATGTACGACTGTGATCCTAGCGGAAAGTCTCAACCCGGCCATTATGCTACCCCTTAGTGGATTCACTGGCAGCGCCAAGTCTCCGAAGACTGTCAAGGATCTTCGAAATAATAAGTCGTTTCATTAAGTTACACTTATTTTCTAAGGTTTCCCTTTGCAGGATGTTGAATTATGTCTCAATACATACTTGTTGTTTAGCGTTCGCCTGACACTGGCGTTGTCTGCCTCCATAAACAGCATGCTGTTGGATCGATTTACTACTAATGCTGGCTTTTCGTTTACCAGCTTGGTACGTTCGCATGATGGACAGGTGACAAAATGTGTGCTTTGCGTTGTGGGGAGGGGTGTGTGTGTGTGAGCCATCCGTGGACCGAACCTAAGACCGTACGTCTGTCAGTACCCCTCTTCTGCCACCTTGACCACTGGTTTTATCACGTGCCCGCACCATACAGACGGTGAATCATTGCGTTGTTGTGCAGTAAACCTCCATGTTTTGGCTTCGTATAGCGCACATGTCTGGTCAGTTGGGTAAAGCTGGCCTGCGACAAAGTTTGAACGCGCATGTTTGTCAGTCGTGACTGCTTTTTCAGTCCGACTGCCTGCTTGTTTCAGAGCGCCGTGCGGTTCGCGGGTGTAAGAGTTTATCGTGGCAACCATTGATCGACCATTGTGTACACTGGAAGATGTTAGCTGCCTAAGCTACTGACCGTTATTTGGATTAACTGATTCGCATTTGAGAAAAACTACGTAGATCAGGGCGCAGGTGTGTTTGCAACCCTTATTTCTAGTATTTGTTTTCATATAAACGTCATGAAGGGATTTCATACACCTTGATATTGAGGTGCAGCAGTATACACCCTACCTTCCGTTTTGTATGTTGGGTGTTATTTACAGTATTGAGGTATCCGCCTCTCATCCATTTGAGTGCCGTGACGTTCGGGGGGGGGGGGGTGGAAACCCCGTAC